TGCATCTTGCCATGCTAGGCCTACAAATATCTTTTTGTGTAGGAATTTTAAGAACCTCAAAAGATTCCCTTTTAACTACTCGCAATTACGTAAACCAACCTGGCCAGCCTTAGGATCATATCCTAGTAATTTAAGTATACTAAATAAGATCGGAGTCTTTCTAGAATCTATCTAAAGGATACAACAAGAGTCAACACTGTTCCACCGTGTCGTCGAGCCTTTAGCACCATTAGATGCTGCTGCTCATGGGAGGTATATGAACTGCATCCTAACTGCTTTAACGCCTTCAACGCCAATTTAGGTCTAAGATACGTTCCTAAAGGGGAAGATTTGGAAGAGGTCAACGTTAGGACCTCCGACCATCAGCAGGACGGTCGATTGTCATCCCATCGTTAAACAACTGATGGAGTTTCAGTATGTTAGTGAACATGGATGGATAGGAGTGACATATTCATACATAATGAGATGTATCGCGGGAATCTAAGATCGAGTCGTTTATATGGCACCCTCATGTGACACGATGCACCTCCAGAGAAAACTAAACATTCGACATGTCGTTACACAAGAACATCCTTCTTAATAACTACATATGGCTACTCCTAACCTACTTATTGTAGGAAGTTCATTCACGACTAGTGGCCTCAGATGGATACTGTTATTACTAACGTTGTTATTAACACATGTGTTAAAGCTATCAACGCAATGCATGCAGGTTAGTCACTGCGTCGTTTTATCACACAATCGATCAACTTAGAAACATCTATGATAAGATCAGTAGCCCCAGCAGCCACCAACGACTCTGCTGTGCTGAGACCAGTACCATACACACCAACACGCCAACCTAATCCTTTACCAACCTGAACACCAACAACATGATGATGGTAATGATAATCGATAACATATGACATCTACTTCCATATCCATAGGGTGATCACCAACTATCATAGCTTGTCGAGGATCTCTACACTGCCATTTCTCCAATAAAAACTCCACACCATCTCTACTCGGCTTAGGACGTAACTTCATATCTCCTCCAACAATACCGTCTATAGCCAACAAGGGAATATCCTCATTCTCAATGAACCGCTTTGTTGACGCAACCTGAGAAGATACAATCGACCGAGGCCTATCAATAGCATTCAGCAACTACATCATCTAATGATAACACTCCGATTTTCTCTACTCCCAGTTCCCGCAAGTGAGTGAAAAGTGATGGTAGCCGACAAGGCGTAACGTATTTCGGGCGATAATTTCTCAGATGGGTCATCACCGGTCCTACAGGGATGCCCCCCGATGCTTCTACTTGACGTGCTATCTCGGAATTACTCGCTGATGGGCAGAAACGTCCATTGTAAAAAGAGTCTTCTATTATTACCAGTCATACACAGCGCATTTTCCTTAAACTGTCTTCGGATAGGATCGAACCCGAGCAACTTCTCCAACCTCGGTCGTGGAACTCCATACGCATCGCTCATCCGCTGAGCCAAAACTTCCACAGATGCGCCATACGTTTTATTCAAGTCCAACAGGGTGCCGTCCTTGTCGAATATTATATACCTCGGCACTTTACTCATCCGAAGTATTGAAACACGGCGTAACGTTTTCAAAGGAAAAAAGAAAAAAACAACTGTTAACTCACATAATCGTCGAATAAACTAATATAATATTTCACTGCAGGACATTATGAATCAGTTTTCGGTCAACTACGCGTGTTGATGCCGATAAAAAATTCGAAAGAGATTATGGAAAATTTTCATTGGTATCCCCACACTCCTACTACTACTACTACTACTACTACTACTACTACTACTACTACTACTACTACTACTACTACTACTACTACTACTACTACTACTACTACCCGTGAAAAAGACATACAAACGTATATAACAAGATCGTTATGCATATACTACATCTACTGCATGAAGAGTGTTAGTGCAGCTATACTGTCGATGTTGGTATACACAGAATACATCAATACTCCATAAATCACGCATAGAGCATCAATGACATCATTTACTCATTTCACAACTCTTCTATGTGAGACTCCATTGTCCAACGTATCTTAAATTACCGCGCATTTCGAAATTACTCCCGTGAAACTACTGAGGACGCAAGACGTGAGTGACGTGTAGGAATCTTTCAATGGACTGCTGGAGATATGGAAGGACTCCCTCTCATGACCACCGGTATAATCAGCGTCACCGCGCCACAAAATTGGTCATAGGCTCGCCTGAGGTCGGCTCTAGGGTGATCAAGAAATGTCATATAAATGACCCTGTCAGGGATCGAACCCGGAACCTCCAAGGGACCTCGGCAGCAAAACGAATAGATTCTATACAAGCGCTCGATAAGCGTTTTGACAGTTACCAGAAACAATAATTACTCAGTAGTGACGATGAATGGACATGACCGTATCTTCTACGAGTGAAGATAAGATGCTATTAAGATGGTATCTTTTGTATTTAGTAATCAAGTGAATAATCAGCTACACGCATGCTGCTGCACAGAAGATACGTGATGATGATGAGCATCGATTCAGCAATAATAATAATAGATCATGTTACCATTTACCAATCCTCTTCTAAATCGGCGAATGATCTGATTAAAAACAGCGCAGGTTCGATCCTCAGTGGAGATACTATTAGAAAATCCAACGA